TTGGATAACCAACAAAAGGGAACGTAAATTATAAGCACGTCAAGTTTTTTTTTATTCCCCACGGCTCTCATGAACAACTTGGATATATCAGGAATTTACATTTGCACTTAAAAATATAGTAGGTACTGGAGTTTTAACAATATCGTATTTAAGACTACTTTGTAGTTTTCAAATAAAAATATTTAACTTGTAGTTGTTCTAAAATATCTAAAAGATAGAAGAAATAAACATAAGATTTTACTAAGTATGTGATTGACTATGAAAAATCCATACCTGAATTCACTCATGTATCCGAATTACGTAATTTAGTGATTAAATGCTATTGATTTAATTTTTTGTATAAAAATACAAAACAAAAATTAATTGATTATACGTGTCTCAGATTTTCTATCACTATATCATTTCGAAACTCACTTCATTTATGCCACGAATCGTTATTACCAATTCAAGGTTGAGCAGATGCTGAATTCGGGCACCTGAGTGAATTCAAATTCAGGACCGGATTTTTACAGAATCGCAGGACTGCATTTAAACTAGCGAACTTTCGCTAAATGGGCCAATGTACTTTCGTCTAGAAACCGCCGAATTTCTCAAGTATTACCATCGCTTCTAATGAACTTCTCTAGCCTAAACATGCTTAGTTAAAAAAATATCAAATTTATAATTACCCCTATAAAGAAACTTACGTTGTTAAAACACGGGTCTATCAGATTCAATCCTCTTTTATACATCCCTCCCGTTTCTACCAATTATAGACAAAATGCATATCTTTGGCGAGCTCTTAACAATTTCAATGACCTATCAAGGCAGGCAAACTTGGATCTCTTCGACACTAGCGAGGTTTCGGCAAGGGGTATTTTAAGCAGTATGTTCTTCAACGATTTGTGAGTACCATGTAATACCTATATTCCATTAACTACCGATTTTGTCATAGCTAGGGACTTGGTGTGTGTATGCGTTAATATATAGGCTGTTGTAATACATATTTAAAGTAGTATGTTACTAATGGTGGGGACTTTTGATTGGCTTTTTGTCTTTATTATAGTTTTATAAGATTTTTCATTGTATAGCTGTAAGTCTTCAAAAAATTTAATAAATAAATAAATAATAAATAAATAATAATAAATATGTATTTTTTATGAAGGTATGATGTGTATACGAGTTAGACGCTAATAATGAACTGTTGTGAAAGAGCCGTTTACTTGCATTAAATATTTCTAAATAAACTTATAATTCACATTGCAATTCCTGAGTTCATCGACTTCTGTTCGTTGTCTTGTGATAAGTGGTCTCGTTACGTCCGCACAGAAACTAAAGATGGAAATAGCTTCGTTAGTGTTCGTTCCGTTTGATGTACATATAGTTAGAACTAGAAAACTAGACAGGTAATGGAACTAGAAACAAAGACAACATCTACACTACACAATACTCACACATATATACGAACCAACGAGTAAGAAAAACAAGCTTTTTATATTTATTTCAAGCGATACTTTTCATTACGTAATTACAGTATTGGGAAAACAGAATGTAAATTATTTAAGGATAACACAAATAGTATGTTTTTACAGATACCTGCTTGTTTATTGTAAAGGATATTTTTGTTTTTTTTTTACTTAATAAATTGTGTAAACACTGTTTTTACCTAATGTTACTTATTGATCCAAAAGCTTACTGATATAAATTTGTTTGTAAAGTAGTGCACGATCGAACCTTTTTGATGTTTGTTGCACTAAGTGATACAATTGATATATGTTTTGTTATTTATAAATAAATAAATAAAAAACTGTTTTCCGCATCTAGAAATGATAAATCTGGAAGAGAACCCTTAAAATCACGTATGCAGGCAGTAAACTCCGCCAACATCTTTATCAAACACTACAGTACTAGAGAACACAAAAAATATGTATAGCATAAACAAATCGCTTGATATGTCTACGAGCAAGAAATGTAAACTAAAGTTCTCCCAGTCCTGTTTCATGTAAAAGTCGTGATCAAACAAATAATGACATCATCTTCCATTAAAACGTACATACGAGTAATATTAAATTGGAATTTTTGATGTCTTAATAAAAAAAAGTTTTCATTTCATAAATATGCTTTCTGTATACTCGACAATAAAAAAAACTAATCGTAAAAAATAAATATATATCTATACTCATGGTAATTGGCACTAGCACACTCGTCGGCCCTAAAGGCTGTAAAATATCTTTCCTTTTTAACATCCAACATGTAATAATTGCTTTGAACGTTTATAGGATATAATTTCTTAGAAGTTCTTGTGAATAACACAACATGCGAAATATTGTGATGGTAAACCGAAATGAATGTCATGATTATGTTTTATTAGGAGCCATGTGCCGGTACTTATTTCTAATAATACATAATAGCAAAAGCTCTCATTTTTGTCGCTTATTTTACAATTGTCATTTAAATTGAGTATTCAAGTAAAAAGCTTCTTTCTGATTAATTCTACAAGAACTTCTAAGAATTCACTATTTATTCATATAATTCACTAAGAATTCACTATTAATAACATGTAATTAAGTTTAATCTAGTTAATTTAGAAAATTATGGAAAATCCTTAACGCTATCTTAATGAAGAAAAGATTAATATAAAAAAGATACATTCCTCTGTTCCCCCAAAGCTTTAGACTTGCATAGACACGATTATCTAGTGCAACCTTTTTATTTCTTAGACTTCATGAGTTGTTAGAAATAGTAAAAGGAGGGTCGTGATGTAATCTATGGAATCCGGTTAAAACCTACAGTGAACTACCGCAAAGCAAACACATGAAGTGTCCATTTGTTTCTATAATCAAAGAAACAATTAACTGACCCATTAAATTGTGACGATACGCGTCCGTAAAAGGTATAGAAAACTTCAGTGTTCCCACACTCTATCATACTAGTTCAACTGTTACGAATTCATCTGTATGTTTACAAATTAAAAAGGTAGTTGGATAGTCAATTTTGACCTACATGCCTTAATTACAAGGTAATTACTGGCCTATACAATACTTCGATATCGGTGATGAATTGAGGTCTAAACTAAAAATGCTCATATTATTTATAAATAACAAATTCATTTCAATTTAAAATAAGATTTTTATCGACGTGGAGTAATTGATTTCCAGCGGTTCGAAATGGTATTAGTAAATGGAATACTTTTTAATAAAAAAAAAGTCCTATAACTGTATCCGCACGCTCAATATCGGCCACTTTACAGCAAACGCAACGTATTTACTGACATAGTGGCTGTCAATTATGATATTGCCCATTATATTATATTACATAGCAATTTCTCTGTGGACATTTCGTAGGAATCGATTGTTATAAGTAAGAAAGTCACCGTACCTCAGGCAGGGAACTTGTAGTGGGCGAGGCTTGTCACTCATGCTTACAGAACTTCGCGTGATACGTCTCAATAGCCAATCTACTATGAAAGATACATACTTTCGATATAAAACCAACTAGGTCCAATTAGAAAACGTTTGCAAAACGAAGTATTCCGTATCCACCAGCGGTTTTTTATTGCTGAAATACATCGCATAAAAAAAATTGGCGTCTCACAGCAAAGCTACGTAAAAAGTTGCCTCCGTTTAATTTTATTCTTAAGACATTTTGTAACGAACTTTTCTATCTGAAAATACATGTTTTAATGAAAGACAACGCTTTTGTCTAAGCTAGTTTTTATTGGAATTATAAAATATTTTAGAGTATCAAATTTAATTTTGTCGTATATATCAATAACTTCTAAAGACAAATCATAATACTTCTGTTTGAATGACCTCACTCCATTTATGCCGTTATCATGTAAATCAATAATGACAAGTTGTTATATACTGAAAAACGGATTAATAAACTCACTTCAGCAGCAGAAGCTAAGTAAATATATACAGTATATAATAAGCTAAAATGTAACAAAAATCGTGTATTTGTTTTTTTTTTGAATTCTAATTATTATTTTTAACAATATCCCATTATAAGAATGTTCCCAACGTCATGGTAAAGCACGTTCAGCGTCTTGTTACGTGAACAAATCAGGAGACTATAAAGCGAAGAGGTCTCTTCCCGCTGGTCATAGTAAAGTTTCTGCAGTCATGCAATCTTGTTTCGCTCGTTTAGTGAACGGATGACAACACAAAAAGAGGCAGAGTTCATTCGAGTCCCACGGGTCTACCCAACATATACTACATACACAATCTGTGACAATAGACACAGAACAGTAGCAACATTCCATTAGAATAGAATAGATCTAGGAACTTGCGAATAGAAACGCTATTTGCTACACAACCTACATTTGATTGCGCGTGGCAATCATGCTCTACATTAATTAATCTAAAGCAGGGAATTCCCACTTTGGACAAATAGATTCGATCCCTTGATGTCGAAACAAGTTTCCCAAATATCGACACATATGTAAAATAATTTGCGGAGCTGGCAACCGACATCTGAAAATTGGCCTAAGTTTACTAACTTTTTATTAATTAACCAAGTTCTTGAAACATTAAACATAATGTATAAGTGTATTGAATAAGTCATATAAGAATGACTAATATTAATAAATTTGAATTATAAATGCCACTTGATATTAACTGAATTTTGTGTTTATTAATTTTGTTAATAAAATTGATGAAAATAAGATCAAGCTTACTTAACATACCGCAAAATTTTAGAACTGGGATATCGATAAAATATATCGATAGAAAGAACTAGAGAGTATTTTCAAAGTGAAAAGGCTATGGTTTGAAGTAAAATAATTTAAGAATCCCTGATCTAATAATTATTATAAATCCTTATATTTTTTATAGAAAATTAATCGGGTACCTAAACATTCAAGAACTCTTAAATAAGACACAATAGCCTATGCTAAAGTGAAATGCCGCTATAATACCATCGCACCTAGACCACATCAATTCGATCACGTAGAGCTCATGGTATATCCAAACGACGATCAATAAATCTGCCAAAAAAAATCACAAATGTGATTTTCTTACCCGATTTAATAATAAGTGTCTGCTAACCAGGAACCAATTCCTGAAATAAGAAAAATATAATTAATTTCGGTTTAGAAGATTAGTATTGAACTAGAATTCACAACTCAACACCTAAGAATTTAATGTCTATTATATATTATTATAATAAATGTTAGTTGCATTATAATGTATGTATAAGCGATACCATTACACAATTAGACATCTTAATTAAAGGCAAAAATAACATGAAACTACTTTCTCCCGGTACTGATTAAGTTGTCAAAAAAGGCATTCACAAACAAGACAAATGACTTATTGAATCTTTCTGGTTTATCCGAATGAGTTAATTGATTTTTAATCAATACCTATTAACAACTTTATCAACAATTTAAATAGTTTGATAAAGCCTTTACTTACAAAAGTATTTGAATCGAACTTTTTGTGTCCATTTTTATTTCTTATCATTTTTGAATTTAACTTTTGACTTCATTTTTAGAGAAAGAATAAAACCAGCTGGACGAACGTTTGATGTCAATTCATAAATATTTTTTTATTCGCCGGGGAAATGCTTTTGCCCCATCCCTGCGAGTGACAGGGAACTCTCCTCACGTCACCAGGGGCTTATCCGCCAATACCCCTACATATCATATCCCTAGTGACAGATTAAACTCGCACCAAATCTTAAAAGCCAACGTAATCGCTATTGACTCATCATCTTCAGTCCTTTTACGTCCCCAATGCATGGGTTCGGGTATTACTTATGGATGGATTAGGAGGTTGGACTATGACCCTCCACGCTAGCCGCGCAGCCGAGACCAACAGCTCAATGTACCTTTGGAAGGACGGAGTAGATAATAATTTAAAGTCGCCCATTACCTGAACAACCCTTGCGAAAGTTGCTTAACAACAATTGCTTAATACTACCTACTTATACATGAAACATTAATTTAGTAATTACGCTCGATCGTTGCTAACTAGCCCGTTTCCTCGTATAAATAACAATTGACAGCATATCACTGACCCGTGATTTGTAGCACAAACATTAACTCCCCGTAATCATCAAGACAGGTGAAAATGGCACTATTCCATTCGCACTGAACTACTAACAATTTCATACGAACGTATCAATAACTTTGTTACTGTGATGACTCAGTCTTTTACTATAAAATCATCATAGGAAAAAGAGCAAAATATTTTTGAAGTTATAATAATTACACTAAATGTTATTATAACATAATATGCATACTAATGAGATTCCGGAAAAGACCTAACGGATTTTTTTATTTGTAACTTAATCATCGGATTTGGTTAAACATGTTAATATTTTGCAAATCACTCATGTTATCACATTTATTATCATAGATACTAAAATATAATTTTTATGTTATTGCCATCTTTTACATGGCCGACGTGCGAATAAATAACGGTTCGGACTCAAATACAGAAATTTTCATATTATTATGCTAATATTATTGAAAATATCGGTATCTTTGATGTAGTGACATAGAATAAAAATTTCAACTATGTATAACAAAAATAACACCATGTCAGAAACAGTTACGGTGACTTTTATATTGAACTCCCATACATTATTATTACATAAGTATTATAAAATATGGATATCGATGTCGCAATTGTTATCTCGTATAACAATTTTGCAAAAACACCGAAAATCGGATTTGTTTGAGAAGCATGTTAAACTATTCTACCCAATTGCATTTGCAATCTTTCCCACTCACCAATCCGTAATGAGCCCGCATTGTAGATTATAGTGACGAACTGTACCCCAAAAATGGAGATTTTAATAGGTCTAATGATGATTATTATGAAATGCAGTCATCCTACCAAACGGAGTTCATCAATGAATTAAGTTATTCATAAAGGTAATTGAATGAAACCATGAGCTATAAATATGTAATTTATAAATGTTAAATTCAGCATGTAATGCCAGATGTAAATTGACCTGTGCAGAGGTTATCAGTACTTCACAATTAAATAAAGTTTTTTCACTATACAAAATATCAAACAATGTGACTGGGAGAGTGCATGATGTTATGGTGTAATAAGTGCCTGTCGACCATAAATAAAATAGGATCTCAGATGGTCTTTTTCTTAGCTATAAGAATGGCGTTAGAGCCGGGAACAATATCGCCGGGGGCGTTCGTGCTGGCTCAGGGAGCGGGCCGTAACTACAACGCGGCCGGGCAAAACGGAAAAATAAAGGCAGTTTCGCATTGAAATAGTTCCTATCGCCTTTCGGTGCGGTTGCTTCCCCCTTATCCGCAGCTGATCACTAGACAATGTGGTGGTGGGTGCGGGGTACGCGGCGTGGGGCGCGGGGGCGCGAGCGCATGACCGCGCAGGGCGCAATGACCTTGCGCGCACATTCCGTCCGCTCTTTCGTAGACTCCCGCGGTTTTCCAGATCTCCTGGTCTAGTCTATTACTTAAACCACTTAAGGGATCGTGTTCTAGCATCATTTGCATGTGATCTACGATGCTTCTATGAGTATAGATGCCGTGCACATTATTGTTCGCGTTTTGTATTACATTCATTTTAAAAGCCTAAAGCTATAAGCCCATAGGAATGGCTTAAGCTATAAATATAACTCGAAAAATTCTTGGCAAGATATTTTTCTTAAAACAGCAAATGATACATTTTCCTGGTTTATAAATCAATAGTTGGCTGTTAATATTCAATACAAACAAAAACGTTTTATCGACGTATTTAAAACCCTTTTCTGGTGACGAAATAAAACCAGTAAAATAAACTTGAATGAAATAAGCTTTTATTTCAAATGCCAAAAATATATCAATCTATATATTCTTTGGGCAATTAAGCCTTAGTGAAATTTCCTGCATTTAGCCGTCACTAAATAGACAAACAAAAAATGCGTAAAAGCTTTTACTGCTCGCATCACATTACGCAAGAAGAACTCGTGTGGACAAAATTTGGGATTCAAAGACACACTCAAACACTTATAATGCATCCACCAAAGTAGGTTATTAACCTTAAAAGAACCTACAAAAAGCGGTTGAAGAGTAAACAAAGTGACCACACAAAAAAGACAATATCGCACGCATAAAAACTCTCAGAAACCATTTTATTTCAGCATTTTCTAAGCGAATTCATTGATTTGCAAAACATTTTTTGTTTATTGTAAAATAGTTTAAAAATTTCGTTTTTTTTTCGTTCAGATACCAAAATGTAATTGATTAAGAACCCACCGAAGAATTGTTGAGAGTTAAACAAAAAAAGTAACTTTACCTTAGCAACTGACAGTGTAAAAATTGGTCCCAAAAGAAACAATTATACATAGCACCTAACCGGGAAGTAACGGAATAGTCGAATAATCGGAAAACGAGACGTTCCAGAAACCGTTCGGTGCGACTACTAATGGTTATAAACTATAAACCCACGCTCAGAACCACGGAGCGTAACATAAACACTACTAATGAGGATCATTCCTTTTCTATTTGCTATTATTGTGGCCAAGCAGGCCCCGTGACGTACCATCGAACTAGATCACTGTTATGAATCATTGTTTAAGTTGAAATTTGCATTAAAAGATACCATCAAACCTCATTTGACTTTTTACAGTATGGACTGTTATGTATGGACATTAAACTAAGAAAGACTTACTGCTAGAAACTCATCATTAAAAAGAATAATAAGCGAGTCTGGGTAAACTTGATCCTTAAGGGAGAATTGTGTGAGTAACTAATGTGTACCAATTCAATTGGTACACATTAGTTAAACTTCACGTATTTTACTATCAAAACATATAAAAACTAATCTATAATAACGAAATTATGACCAAAAAAGGGGACATCAAGTTCGCATAATCTACCTAAAAAATTAAAGTACTCAAAATACTTATATCTAGTGCAAATAATTTAATGCAATTATATATAAGTATATTCGTATTAACGACGTTATTGTACAAACTTCGTAATCAAGTGGTTTATACTCAGGTTACAAGGTGTCGCCGTCTTTGATGTCCCGGATTCCATTGCCGATCGGGTCAATGTAATAAAAGGAATTTTCTATATTATTTCGGGTATACTGTTGCGATACCTTTGTTGTCTCAGATGCCCCATAATACGAGGGCCACTCATCTTTAAATCTGAGGCAATGTATATGATGTCGTTTTTATTAATTGTTTATATTTTTTTATAATAACCTTTTAAGAACAATTGCTTTGATGGCCAAAATCTGGAACCCAATTGATAACTACGGCGGGTTTCGAACCTGCATTGGTCAAATAAGTTAAAAAGTCTCCATAAAACAATAACACGAACAAAACAAAACTAGTTTTTACTGAGATACTATTGATAAAAAATCTATGTTAATTAAGAGAACTTTGCGATTGCTAGAATAAGTGCTTGACTTGTATACTGTATCTAGAAATTCCAGATGAAATAGATGAGCACATATTTTTACGAGCAATCTTATTGGCAAGGTGGTATAATTAGTTCGATTTTCAAATTAATGTTTTTTTGTAATTAATAAGACTACATATCTTATCTAAGCTATATTTAAAACTTAAACTTTAATAGAGTATAGTTTTAATAGATTAAAATTCCTAATAAACTACTAATAAGCTAATCCCAGATAAACTGTGATTATGTGAAATGAAATAATTACTCTACTTATTTCTAAATATTGACTATAAGTTAAAATATGACATTATTACATTTTTTCAACAAAAACGATTATAAAGTCAAGATATTTAAATTCTGCTGTTAAAATTTATAAACATCTATAACTTTGTAGCTTAGAGCTGATACTAGTGATATTACAAATAATTAGATTATTTTTAGCACTTCATTTCATATAATATGTTTTGTCATTTATAAAAAAGTAATAAATCCTTGCGATTTAATCTCATTATAAAATCCTTGATTGATTATCCAAAGTAAATCATATTCTAAATGCATTAATCATATTGTTTATGCGCGAGTGAACACACCAAACCCAATGAAATAATTTACAGTTTACAATGACTAAATAACTCTTAAGACATTTAGTGCCTCGTTGATAAAACTAATATCAAAGTACATATCCGTCTCTTCATGTGCACACAAAACACAAAAAAAAACACAAAAACAGCAACGGTTGCAGACCGTCAACTAATAATCAATTCATCCGCAAATAACACTAAATGCAGCCAGCTTAAAAACGCAGAGAATGAACTTTATTAATAGTGGTAATAATAACACAATTATGAT